AGAGCCATTTGGATTGGGCTGCACATGGTCATGCCTTCCAACTAGTTGACATGATTGATTCTTTTAGCATATATAAGTTCAAGTAAAATAGGTCCTACACATTTATTTCCAACAAAGGATCTCTAAGAATCAAATCCATAAATATTACTGCTAGTTTATAATGATTTCTAGGAATAAAACATACCCCAGATGCAAACTTTGTATCCACTTGTATAAAAGCTATACGAGATAAGAAGTCAAAAATAAGAAAGATTTCACTGGTTGACAATAGCACATGAAGTATCACATTGTCTTGTTCCCCAACTCATTGTCTAATATACATGATCTTAGCAATCAAATTGGTAAATTTACTGCTCTTGAATAGCAGCAGACCCCAGTGTTCTGACAAGATAGCGAACAGACCATCTGTAAAGATCAAATTGATAAATTTACAGCAATAGCTGACAACTTGTAGGATAACATTCCCGATTAGACTAACCTGTGTTATTTCAATAGATTTTGAAAAGTGTTCTCAAATAGTAGATAACAGAAATATTTATGGGCTTTCAACATGTCTGTGTTTGCAAATCTCCATAAATTTATGAGTCGATCAAAACCTTACTATATATTGGCAGAAATTTGAGTCCATCCATATTCGAGAAAAGTATAAATATGATATACACATTTTTAAGAGTTAATCAATTTACATCCAGTTCTATTGAATTCAGTCGAACTCAATACTTTCACATTGCTGCAGAATGGCAGATCTAGTACATGTTGAGTTATACTTCATTGCATGATGGACACTACCATGTTTATTTTAACTTCATTTTGAACCACTAAGTATAATTCTTACCAATGGAATGAGTTGTGGCACTTTAGAAGACTAGATTCTGACTAAAAACGAGGAGAGTAGAGCAAAAAAATTCTATTGCAATGAATTTTTTACATCGATGCATGGAATAGAAGGAAACCATGTAAGTAAAAAGTTTCATTACTTCAATTTCTTTTGAAGTAGAAAAATGTGTCCTTAGTCTAACTAGTGTTTCTTCTAACTCTCAACTGTACGCAGTTTCTATCCTGGCTTACTACAACTATACAAAATTGTGTAATTAAAAAAATGGGGACTGGTTTCCTTCTCACTTCCGCAATATAGATGTGAGATTGATGAACAAATCTTCGCTGCAGGGAATAGTCACACCACCCATTGGATGGTCGAAGCCAAATTCTTCCTCAGATTGACTAAGCAAGTCTTGAAATAAAGGTTCGCTCAAGAATGATATGGGGATCACAAATCTTTTTTTCTGCATCTCCCCAACATACACAGCAAAATGGCCCTTGGGAATATCTCTGGTTGCGGAAGACTTCTTGATCATACGAAGAATAGCCATGATGATTTAGTTTTAGTATAGATAAGAAAGGTAAAAGAATTACAAAGGAACTCAAAAGCAGAGAAAGTTTTGATGTTTGCTGAGAGCTGTGGTGGTAGATATCTCTTTGGATATGTTTATATAGGCAATGGAAACTCATACTGATGTGGTGTTGAATAAGAAATTGTGGGCACCAGCAGAAGACAATGTCACTGAAGTATCACATGCTCTTGCCTTCCAAGTATTGAAAACTTTGTGGTATTAGTTAAAGAACAATAGGCCCTACCTTATTTTGAAACTTGGATAGAAGCATAATTCATTATAGAACTTTTGAGAAGCTATGACCTGGAACATGGACCAATAACATGAAAAACATAACCACATTGGGAAACATAAAATGTCATCAATTAATATCCCAAAACAACAAGTAACATGAGAGAGGTCAAACTCTTCCCATCTTTGTTCAGACTTGAAAGGCTTTAGTTATCAAGGATTACAGAACCTACCTTTTCTTTGAACTTAGAGCAAAGTATCCCTCACAATCAAATAGCTAAACAAGTATTGTCTAGGTACACATCAAGTTTTATATGTTGACATGTTTTTGTTGTAAGCATTATTCCTGATGCTTATTCCTGAGAAAACAAAAATAGTTTATATGGCCATAAGCTTCCAATTCCAAGTGCTTCCTAGCATAGGTTTATAACTTTTCATTAATCATTATGGCCCTAATTGGTTGAAAGAATTTGTATATGGAGGCTTAGGAAGTGGTTCTAAGATCTTAAAATTGTTGTTGTGATATCTCAATATGATATTTCAACATCACATTGTCACTTACCATTCTACTTAGCATAAAATAAATATACAAAGCAGAAGACCATCAATAGGCACCTGATGGATATCATATGGTTTTACCTTCTATGTCCTTTTGGGCACTGCTTATGATTTGTGATAATAGTCCTACTTTCATGACCATACATAAAAAAAGTGAAAAACCAAGTTGAGATGAGGAAAGAGGATAAAGGTGATTTTTTGCGCTCCTGAATGGAAAGGACAGCAAAAAAGACCACAAAAAGAGGCCAACCTGATTGCTTGGCGTAGTTGATTTAAATTGTAGACTCTACAACTATTTGAAGTAAGTAAAACACATAAAGCTATGGTTTGGATTCAATAACTTGCAAACAAACATTATTAGTTACTTCTACACAGGCACTCTCTTAGAGAACCATAGAGTAAATACAGTTGTGCTAATCGATGCTTTTAGAAATAAGTTGGCATAGATATATGCAATGCTTTCTTCTCATATCACAAGTCATTTGATCAAATGGTTCACCAACTTTGCAGATCAGAATTGTCCTGAGTTTTTCAGCTGATCGAGCGAAATTCTAATAAATCATCAGACCAGTATTGATTTTTCAAAAGAGAAGAAATAGAAAATGTCTAATGAAGTGTGAAGTTGTGAACTATGAATGTGACTTCTTCGATATTTTGAAATTTCTTCTGCTGATATAAAGTTCATTTTTTTGTCTGCGCCAAATATATTTCAGTGTTCAGGATAAGGTCACACATGAGTTTTCTTTAGAGATAATTAACAGACTTCAGCACTTTAGAAGCTCCAATTCGTATGTTATGGAAAGAACAGTCATGTAAAGAAATTTGTTGAACAGAAATACTAATACCAAATTGGATAATGAATGAGTCTGAACAGATTTCATTTTCTAAACTACTGAAAATTGTATTCAAAATTGGGATCTATAGATCCAGCTGACAGTAGTGAGAAGTAACAATGTGTGTTTCCTAATTCCTCTTATGTACAAACTAAAAATCCTTTTCTTTACAAAACTGTGAAAATAAAAGCCTCAGATCCTATTCAAGCGAGAAGTAAGATCAACGAACACATCTTCACTGCAGGGTATTGTTACACCACCCATTGGATGATCGAAGCCAAATTCTTCCTCAGCTTGACTAAGCAAGTCTTGAAATAAAGGTTGGCTCAAGAATGAAATGGGAATTACAAATCTCTTCTTTTGTTTCTCCCCAACATAAACAGCAAAGTGGCCTTTAGGAACATCTGCGACTGTAGAGGACTTCTTGATTATACGAGGCATACGGATAGCCATGGTCTTTTAGTTCAATATATAGATGAGGAAATAAGGAAGGGAAGAATTTGTAAGGACTCTGAAAGAACAGATAAGCTTTGTATGACTTAAATTTTTGGTCAGAGCTGTTATGGTAAACCCTTCTTTATATGTGTTTATATAGGCCAATGACAAGTTGTCAAACCCCACTGATGTCTGAATATACATTTTGTGGACACCAGCTAAAGACAGTAGCACCTGAAGTATCACATGGTTTTGCCTTCCAACTCATTGTCAGAGTATTAATACATTGAAAGTAATCAATCTAAAAGCATAAGGTCCAACTGATGTTCACAACAAATAACAGATAGAAATTTCACCTCCAGCCACAGGCCACTAGCTTCTTGACGTTAAATCAACAAGTAGAAGTCAGATTCCAATGATTGATCATCATATGCGAATCTATGAGGGCATATCTGAAGATTTTTTTATAAAACTTGATCATCCATAATGCTAAAGCAAAGGGATCAGTGAGTATAACTTTAAGGATACTTTTGAGAAAGAAACTGATTGTGTAACAAAAATATACTCAAGGTTGAGACCGAACCATAAACCTCTCGGTAACAGTAAACCATGATTTATTCATATAGTTTAGAAAATCTAAATATCTCAATTCAGATTAGCAAGTCATGAGAGTTGAGAAAAAAAATTATATTGCAATGAATTTATTACATTCAATATATGGAATAGAATGGTTGAACCATAGAAGTAAAAAGCTTTATTACTTCAATTTCTTTTGAAGTAGAAAAATGTATCCTCAGTCTACCTAGAGTTTCTTCTAACTCTGAACTGTACGTAGTGGAGATCCTGTTTTACAACTACACAAAATTGTGCAAGCAAAATTGGGAACTGGTTTCTTTCTCATTTCCGCAAGCAAGATGTGAGATCAATGAACATATCCTCACTGCAGGGAATTGTCACACCACCCATAGGATGGTTGAAGCCGAATTCTTCCTCAGCTTGATTGAGCAGTTCTTGAAATAAAGGCTGACTCAAGAATGATACTGGGATTACGTATCTCATCTTCTGTTTCTCCCGACATACACAACAAATGGCTCTTTGGGACATCTCCAGTAGTAGAAAATTTCTTGATTATACGAGGCATACGAATAACCATGATCTTTTAGTTTTGATACAGGTGAGCAAAAAAAAGAAAGAGAAGAGCTAATAAAAACCTCAAAAGCAGAACATTCTTTGAATACTTGCTGATAGTGATGAGTTATTTCATGAGGCACCCTCCGCAAGACTATAGCACCTTAAGTAACATGGTTATGCCTTCCAACTAATTGTCGAAGTGTTGATATCTTAAGGACAAATTGGTTCAAGATAAAGGCCCTACCTTTCTCTGAACTTGGAACATAGAATGCCTCACAAATCACAATGAAATTGCTAAAGAAAGCTGACTATTATGACTATTCATGTCAAATATGAACTCCTGGACATTTCTTGTCATTAACATGGTTTTTTAGTAAGAATTTATTAAAAGAAAAATGGAAGGTCAACCACCAGACACCAATAGAACAAAGGAAAAATAGGATAAAATAGAAACTCTTTGCCAAAATTGTAAAAACAGAACACCTGACCTTAGGATGCTTAAAGAACCAACATCTGATGTACTGACTAACAATTTTGACTAATTATGGCAAGTTGCTTGTGTTAGGCTTTGAACAACAAATTTAACAAAGAAAAAGAGAACCAAAAAACTAAATAGGCTAAATAATGAACCTGAACAATTCATTTGTTAAAGATTGTATTGCATATCTTTTAGACATCAGCTACTGAAAATTACATTCAAAATTGGGATCTTCTGCTGCAGCTGACTGTACATGGTCCTCTCTATCTAATTATCAGTAATATGGTGTACTAACTAGAAAGGTTAGCTCTTTACAAAACTGTGAAAATAAAAGCCTCAGATTCTATTCAAGCGAGAAGTAAGATCAATGAACACATCTTTACTGCAAGGTATTGTTACACCACCCATTGGATGAGCGAAGCCAAATTCTTCCTCAGCTTGACTAAGCAAGCCTTGAAATAAAGGTTGGCTCAAGAATGAAATGGGGATTACAAATCTCTTCTTCTGCTTTTCCCCAACATAAACAGCGAAGTGGCCTTTAGGAACATCTCCGGTTGTGGAAGACTTCATGATTATACGAGACATACGGATAGCCATGGTCGTTTAGTTCAATATAAGATGAGAAAATTAGGATGGGGAGAATTAGTAAAGACTCTGAAACCAGAGAAAGATTTGTATGGTTTCAAATTTTGCTGAGTGTTGTTGCAGTAACCCCTTCTTTATATGTGTTTATATAGGCTAATATCAAGTAGTAGAATTCTACTGATGTGCATTGAATAGACATTATGTGGGCACCAGCTAAAGGCAATAGCACCTGAAGTATCACATGGTTTTGCCTTCCAACTCATTCTCATAATATAAATACAATGAAAGTAGTCTCAAATCAGAAGGTCCTAATGATATTCACAACGAATAACAGATGGAAATTTTATACTTCTTGAGAAATGGTTTAGCTTCTTGATGTTAAATCAACAAGTAATAGTCAGATTCCAATGATTGATCAACCACCAGACACCAATAGCACAAAGAAAAGTGGGATGTTCCAGCCTTCCAGATGCTGAATTCAATCCTAAATATCAAGAATATCACAATCCTTAAAGGATAAAATATAATTTATGCTTGGAGGTTTATGAACTCTTTCCTAAGACTTTATACAAAGCAAAACATCTGATCTTAGGATGCTTAAAAGAACCAATATCCGATGTACTGACTTATAATTTTGACTAATTATGGAAAGTTGGTTGTGTTAGGCTTTGTATAACAAACTTATATAGTAAAGAGAGAGAGAACAAAAAAAAGGTGCTCTCATTGCTTGGTATAGATTATAACTTACAAACAACACTATCAGGCAACATGGAACTGAGGTATTTAATTTTTTACTTCAAAGTATGTAAAACACACAAAAAAAAACTATGGGTTTGGTTTCAATAACCTGCAAACATTTGTTACTTACATAATTTACGTCTTTTAGTAAAACCACCAGAAAATATTTACACAAGTTAACTGGAATAAGGTACATTTTTTTATCCTCATATCATAAGTTGTTTTCTGATGGTTTAATCAACTTTGCGGATCAGAATTATCTCAAGAAATTCTTATAAAGAAATCCAGTGATTTGTTTCAAAAAAAGAGCAGAAAACAATAACATCTATTAAGTCACTTGATTGATATTTTGAAATTTCTGCTGCAGATGTCTATAAATTTTTCTTTGTTGTCGTAGCCAAAAGTATTTCAGTGTTCAGGTTAAGTAAGGTCACAGATAAGTTGTCTTTCTTTAGAGTTAAATTAACATAGAGGAGGTCTTGTAAAGAAAACTGAGAATTGGCTAAAGAATGAATCTGAACAAATTTCATTTTCTACTGAAAATTACATTCAAAATTAGGATGTAAGGTTACAGCTGAGAGTACATAGTCAGTCCCCTCTATCTAATTATCAGTAACATGGTGCTAACTAGAAAGGTTAGTTTTTTTACAAAATTGTGTAAGGTGAAAAGCCTCAGATCCTACTCAAGCGAGAAGTGAGATCAATGAACACATCCTGGCTGCAGGGAATTGTGACACCACCCATCGGATGATTAAAGCCAAATTCTTCCTCTGCTTGGTTAAGTAAATCTTGAAATAAAGGTTGGCTCAAGAATGATATAGGGATCACAAATCTCTTCTTCTGCTTTTCCCCAACATAAACAGCAAAGTGGCCTTTAGGAACATCTCCAGCAGTAGAAGACTTCTTGATTATACGAGGCATACGGATAGCCATGGTTTTCTAGTTCAGTATAGATAAGCAAATAATGATAGTAAGGGCTAAGGACCCTGAAAGTGGAGAAAAGCTTTGTATGTTTTCAAGTTTTGGTGAGAGCTGTTATGGTAAACACTTGTTTTTATAGGTCAAGAAACAGGCATTATGTGGTTTTGCCTTCCAACTAGTTGTTAGAATATGGAATTAGTCCAAAAGCAGAAGGTCCCACTGATGGTCTCAACAAAGAACAGATCAATGAGACCTCATTTTCTTGAAATGGTAAGAGTTAGGGGCCACCTCTTCATGTTGAATCAACAACTTGTTTTCAACATTCCAATGATTGATCAGGTATGCGAACATATCCTGAGAACTATCAGCCATAGTGCTAAGCTATCTAATACAAGTTATGGTTCCAATCGAAGACTTGTAAACTACTTATAAAATTGTCAGATTAGGATGAATGCTATTGCAAGTTTTTTTAGAATTGGATAATGTAAAATATTTTTCCAGTCTCATTTTGAAATAAGCTGATAGGACCTGCAATGTTCTTTCTGGTCAAAGACGAACACCACCAACCATGGATGCTCTCTTTGTGTGTGACCCTCAGAACTCATTTTGTAGGAAACAATCAAGAGAAGAAATATCTGAATAATTGACTTATACAGTAACTATAGAATGGTCAAATTAAGCTTATTTGAATAATACAGATTTGGATAAGTTGAATATTTCTCTAAGTTTCACTAATTATCAATAAGAAGGTCACATAAGTCCATGAAGAACGAACCGAACAGTGAATTTCTACTTGCGTTGAACATGTTTGGACCGTCGTACAAACTTTGTAGGAAGAGAATGAGATTATAAACAGTTTACCTTGAAACGATCAGATTACGCAAATGAAATAATGATATACATATTACTCGATCTGATTAAGAATTACAATAGTATTTAATTCTTTGAAACAGTTTCTACTTTCCATCCAAATTGGCTTATTTCTGAATTCATCAGTGATACAGATAATGAGCATTGAAAAGTGATCACAAAAACGATAAAAGAAAATCGCCTACAGGGTCGCCATTTTTGGCCATTGCTTGTCATACCAAACCTAGTGAACAAGTGTTTCGCATAGTAGCTGAATTGGCTCTCTGATACATAAAATTCTCCTGGTCTTTAAGGCTAAACGTATAAAATAACAATTAAGCAGACATCTAGGCTACTTTACATGGCAAAAATGATTCTGCATAGTGAAATACGAGTTCATAGTCAACATACCACTGTATATTCCCGGAGTCTAAATTTGCAAAGAACCGGAAGTCATAACTAATGAAACAGCAAAGACTCCTCTCAGCTATTTCAGTGAATTGCCAATGAAACAACACTGTCCAGAGATGCACTATAAACAATGAGCTAACAATCATCGGGTTCCAGCTGACCAATTGTGCTTCACTGAAGAAATGATGATAACTTCTCCGCATTTTAGCTCCAGACATCTGGTGAACCATTGCAAAGGTAAAACCTGACAGCCCACCCAACTTTGACCTTCTCTCGTCCAGAATACAAGCCCTTCTTTCCTTCCTTCCCCCCAGCAGCACCTTTGTTGGCTTGACTCCTTTAATTTTACCTGGGCAGCATCAATCTCATAACTCAAATGATCTTTACCAAAATCATCGCCCAAAACATGCGCTCACTGTACTACAGTCATTACAAACAAAAGGAGAGTTGCTCAGGGAATAACTACTTTTGGTACCACATTAAGGTTACTTAAGATACTCATAAAAAAGGATAAAACAAATGTAGCAAACTAAGCAACTGATCATACTTATATACCTGACTTAGAAGGTTGAGCTGAGGGCTTAAACTACCCTTGTTGCAAAAAATCCTCTCTAGCTTGTTTTTGCTTTAGCAGGATCACGGCCAAACTGAATGACGACAGGCTTGCCTTTAAACACATACCCGTTCACCAGATTCTGCATTCATTCACTTGTATAAAATGCTTTTACAAGTATAGTAAGCACAATAATATTAGTTACTTTCTAGAAGTTGTGTGTTCATATAAAATTATAAGTAAATGATAAAATGATTTCCTTTCATCCATATAGTACATAATCCAACTTGAGGAACCAAACCATATACATGAATACACTCACGTTATACAACCCACTGGTTATTTAAAACAAGTTCACGATTACATGTAGAAGGTTTATCACCTCTCAGACTTCATTTATTTTTGAAAGAGGTCAACAATAAAGCTTACTATCACTTTCATGATGTTAATTTTACAATCCCACTGCGCAAAAGGAAAATGAAATACCAATTTAAGTAATTATAAAAAACACACCAGGGCATTTTGAGCAAGTTCAATGGAGGGAAATGTAACAAAAGCTTGTCCACGCATTCTCCCTTCCTGAAAAACGGAAGTCGTTTAAGCTTCAGCATTAAATCTTTAATAAATACCAATTTACCAATGGAAAGAAAGTTCAGATTACTTATTTTATGTCACATGATTAACAGTCTCTTGTCAACATTTCTAATGCAGCAAGTGCACTTTGCAGTTTGGATCAGGTAAGAAATAGATCAACAAAATGCCACTAAATAAAGAAAGTGAAACTTGTAGTTAAATATATAAGTTGATTACCAATTGATTTTCTAAGGTCGATGAACTACATCCCAAATTAGCTTACCATCAACCAAAAAAAAAACTATATCCCAAATTAGCAGAACTAGAGAAATAGATGAACCTCACCTGCATTAACTTCACTGCAAGACTGGATTTAGCTTCATCAATGCTCACAAATAAGGATCCTAAAGAACATAAAAGATGAGAAGAAATACAATGGTTCCAGGGCCAAAACATGAGGTTATGTATAAGTAAAGACTTCTCTTGAAGTAACATCATGCCATCTATCATTTTTTCTTAAAGCAGGTGAGGGATTGAAAACTACAAGTCTCAGAAAGGAGTTTTACTTTGCAATTGATCTGTAAGTTAATGCTTACCAAATATGAAGTAAATGTCATCAACAATGACTTCTTTTGCTAAGTTCTTCAAGTATAAGATCTGAGAAGGATTTCCGGCACAATAATTCTGCAATGAACGAAACTTATGAGTTGATTATTCAGTCCTGTGCTTTCACTAATACGCAATAGCTCAACATAAAAGGAAACCCTTTCGTGCTTGTACAAGGAATATCCTCCTTGGTGATGTAGACGTGCTGCTTAGCTTTCTCCCCATTAATCTAAACTTTTAATTTACTGATAAAGAAATGAACTAGAATAGCATATTTATAGACTGGAAAGATGCAATCTTAACGAACTTCTATAGCAAATACATGTCAGCTTAAGTACACTAAGCTAATACCTTTTTTATCAATAAACCAGTGACTATATCTCAGAATGGAAGGCTAAGAAGCAAAAAAACTATTAGAAAAAGTAAGCTGTCAGCATAAACCTATCTCATAATCTCATAAACCAACTCTGAAACAATTCTGAAACAAATTTTCTGAAATAAATAAGCAATTCTGGAATAATTAGCAATAAGTTGGTGACTTGAATTTTCTGAAATAAATAAGAACTGAAAGAATTCTTTTCCAAGTTGTTAGTTCATGAATTTTTCAGGGCAAAAACAGAATCCTTCATGGGGTAGGATCAAATAGATCTTATAGTCAATATTAAATAATGCCACCAATTCATATAGCCCAGACAACAAGGAATGTCTGAGCTAGTATTGTTGTTAGAGTTGTTTATCAGGGCACAATTGTTACACTATAAGATTGCCCAAAATAACGTAAAAATATATCTTATCCATATTTTCAACACCCTCAAGAACAGCATTTTAATTTAATCCTTAACTTCTGTACAGTTAAAAGATTAGCTAACCCTGGTGCATCAAGCATATTCAAACTCAATGTCATAGGTTAAAGATCCGGAGCCCAGGTATGAAATTGATTTAGATGCAAACTTTCTGCAATTTAATAGAACTGTGTTAATAAATAATAATTACCTATAGGCTATATTGTACCTATAGCATACAAAATACGTCTCTGTCCTGAACTGTTTGGAAATTTTAATGCACTCATGTCCACATCCAACTTTTGATGACAGCACAACATGATTGAAACATGTATGTGTAAGTTATTAAAGATAAAAAGTTATACACCTCTGAATCCACATTTATGACAAGCACCAGCCCATGCTTCAACCCAAATCACTAACCTACCAAGGCTGGCACCTGAAATAACTTTGGCATGCTCAACGCTACCATCTAAGAATACCTGCTTAAAGAAATCACCTCTTCTATCTTGTTCCAAGGACTGCAAACCTAATAAACCTAACTCATTCTGCTAAAAGACCTTGCCCTAGATACCTCCACCTCCTTTAATTCTCACAAATCAACAACATCACCCGAAACATGAATAGCCAGGTGACAGGATTCCAAGCCTAATACTCGAAAGAGCAACTGCAAATTTAATGTGAAAGTAAGTGTATCATGGGCAAAAGTAAAGACGCGCAAAGTTCCAATACCTTAAACATAGGAAGCGACAGAATCTCTTCTGGGGGCAATCTTCCACTTTTTAATTCTTCAAGGGTCGTAAAAGGTTTATGATCATTCTCTTTTTCTTCCAGTGTCAATGACAGTGCACTTGCATCACCCTTCTCTTCATTCTGTACCTGTTTAGGTGTTACTTTAATCTGCAAGCACGCAAGCGAAAACCTAGTATCATCAACTTCAATAAAGAAAAACACAGAGGGAGGAGCCTTTTGGAGATGAGATAACCTGAATTATTGGGTTCTTCTTCTTTACTACTGGCATCTCTTTAGGAACCAAAGCAGCAGCTCTTAATCCAACAGCCTCATGGCCAACATCCTTGTCAACTGCAGGGCCCAAGATAGCTTCATGTCTAATACGCTTCTTTTTAGGCCCACCAACAATTGTAGCTTCCTGAACCATTAAATATTATTAAAAAACACTAGAATCAGCCAAAAGTTTACTCTAATAGAAAAACATAACAAATAAGGTGAAAATGACAGAAAACACAAGGAACATGAAGATAAGAAAGAATTAAACCAGAGAAATAGAACATTAAAATTTGAGTCAGCTATCCAATATGCTTGAGGCTAATAACGTATATTTGAAGTGCCAGATAACTGCATTCGTCAAACTCAATTTAAAAAGCAAAAGGATCTCTAACAGCATAAGAACTACTACCTCATCTGAAGACTCCATTTCTGATTCACTGCTTGATAGATCTTCCATTCTACTCTTAGAGACTATTGGAGCAGGGGGTGGAGGGGGTGGAGGAGGAACAGACAGAGAGGTTGGTAGAGGTGGAGTTGGCAAAGCCATACGAAATGGTGCCGGAATATTCATCTTGTTCATCAAGTGCAAGACCTAAGCCATGTAAAAACATGGGTATAAAAATATGTAAATTAGACCATCTAAAAAAAGATGTAAAATAGAATAATACACATGAATAGCAAAAGAAATGAGAAAATTAATTCAAGAAGAAAGGGGATGGTATATTGTGAAAAGAAAACCTGAGTGTAGAACCGAGGAACAGCAATAAGAGCATTTACAATATTTGTAAGTATATGTCCATCAGGTGGAGGGTAAACATATCTGAATCACAAGCAGGATAGTCAGCTTTATGAAGAATAAATAGAA